CCTGGTTTCTGGTGTTCAGATCGTTTTAGTTGAATGCCACTGGAGTATCAGTCACTGCAACACCACATCGCTGTGCCCGCTGCTTTCCTGTGCCTGTCAGTCCCCAGGTACCCTTCTGCTGTTGCTCTGTCCTTTCCTATTTCCTGAAATATGTCCTCTCTGCTTCATCCTGATTAGATGTTTTTCTGTCCATTTAAATGTGTCCTTACCCTATTCTGCCATCTTGATTCCCTCACAACGAGCTATTTTCATGTTCTCGTTTCAACAGCACAGACACTAAAAGATCTGTTCACTGGTTCACTTCCTAAGTTGTCTGTTGTAGTTGCTGCTGGGCCAGAATCCAGAAACACTCTATGGTCTCCAGAGTGGCAGGAACACAAGTACTTTAGAACTCATCTGCGGTCTCCTAGACATAGTAGCAAGAAGCAGGGACATTGCATACATTTGGATTTCTCTTCCCAGTTTTTTTTCAAATTATTTTTATTGGAAAGGCAGATACACAGATAGGAGAGACACAGAGGAAGATCTTCCGTCCGATGTTTCACTCCCCAAGTGACCCCAATGGCCAGTGCTGTGCCGATCCGAATCCAGGAGCCAGGAACTTCTTTCTTGGTCTCCCACATGTGTGCACGTTCCTCGACTGCCCTCCCAGGCTACAGATGGGAAGTTGGGCCCTGGGATTAGAAATGGCACCCATGTGGGATTCTGGCACATTCAAGGTGAGAACTTTGGCTGCTAGGCCATCGTGCCAGGCTCTTTTCCCAGCTTTAAAAGGTTATATTCGTATTTATATAGAGCAACATCCAAAAATTTATTAGTATATGGATCACCCAGTAATCATAAATTTACAATGAAAATTAAAATGATATTTGAGATGATTGTGTTTCCTGAGATTTCATAATACTATGGGCAGGATTGAAATTGCTAGTTGACACAAGTATTTGACATGTATGAATAGAATTCTATTCCTGGGATGCCACTGAAGTTAAAGTAATAAGTCATGTCTTTCTTTTCAACTCATGCCAATAGGTAGCTTTGCAGAATTTTCTTGTTAAACTTAACCAAAATATTTGTTTTGGAACATTGTTCAGATATTTTGTACATGTGAGATACTATTAAAAACAAGGGACAATGAAAATATCTTGTGATAAACACATCTTTAGTGGAAAATTATTTAAAGCACATGAGCAATCTTCAGAAAGTTCATGGAAAGTATTATAGGACCTGGCACAAAGGTTCAGTAAATCCTCACCTTGCAAGCACCGGGATCCCATATGGGCAATGGTTCAGGTCCCAGCTGTTCCACTTCCCATCCAGCTCTTGGCTTATGGCCTGGAAAAGCAGTAGTGGACAGCCCAAAGCCTTTGGACCCTGTATCCACATGGGAGACCTGAAAGAATTCCTGGCTCCTGGTTTCAGACTATCTCAGCTCCAGTCATTGTGGCCACTTGAGGAGTAAACCAGCAGGTGGAAGATCTTTCTGTGTCTCCTCCTCTCTGCAAATCTGCTTTTTCAATAAAAGTAAGAACATCTTTTAAAAAGTATTATAAAAAGATGCATAAATTAACAAAAATTAACATCAAAATAAGCACTTGATTTCTTTTCCACCTTTTGCAGTTTTTTTTTTCCCAGAAAATGTGTCTCTAAGAAGCAGTATGTTGACCCTGAAATATGTTAACTAGTCACTAATTATCCTGCAGTTGAATATTTAAAGCAATGTATTACAGGTGATTGTCTAATATTCATTCTATTTCCAAATCCGGGGTAGGGAATGTCTGGCCCATGCGTTATATAAGGTCCTCAAAATCATGTGGTCTGCTTCTGCCAAACCAATTGCAGCTGGGATTCAAAACTCAGTACATAGCAGAACAATTTTTAAGGATGACCTGAGAATTATGTTATAAATATACAGTCTTAGCAGAAAAAATACTCCCTACCCCTGTCCGGAATGATTAATCCACATCTGTCGAGGTTACATTTTCTTGCATAAGTGGATGAGAAATGAATATGTGGTCTAATTTTGGTAAGTGAAGAGTAAGGCATAGTTTGTCAGGAATTTCTAAAAGAGATTCTAACTCCCAAGGAGAAATAAAAGCAATAGTTGATCCCTTCTTTACTTTAGATTTCGCTGTGTATGGATATGATTTCTGGAAGTTGCTGCCATTTTGTGACCATTAGACCAGGTATCTTGAAGACAAAGTTTATTGGCTGAGAATGAAAACTTGGAGCTGGATGCGAAGTGGAGCTGCTGGGATTAGAACTGGTGCCCATATGGGATCCCGTGGCGTTCAAGAAGAGTTTAGCCACTAGGCCACACTGCCAGGCCCAAGAGATTACGTTTTGAGCTAGATATAATCATAGGGTATGCATATGGCAAGGAGTCTGCAGTTGTCACATATTAACTATTCTGAATGTAGTACAATCAAAATTCTGAGAACTAGTGTTTTGATACAATTAACTTCTAAGAGAAATGGGCTTTTAATGTAAGCATTTGCAACACACACAGAACGGGGATGGCATGATAGCCTCGTGGCTAAAGTCCTTGTTTTACACGTGTCCAGGACCCCAGATGGGCACTGGTTTGTGCCCCTGCTGCTACCACTTCCCTTCTAGTTTCCTGCTTGTTGCCCGGGATAGCAGTTGATAGCACAAACTTAATTTCTTGGGACATGAAATCACTAGAATTCCAATCTGTATCCCATAAACATTATAACCTTTTAATATTTGGGATGCAAATATAAAATTAACAATGTTGGTACATCTGTTAATCTCAATTCACAAAATTACCCACTCATCTTGGTTTGCTTTTTCTTGCAATTTAGTAATGAAACCACTTGTGCTAGATTACTTCACCAGCACTTAAAATGTTGGGCATAGAATCTGATTGCCTTCTTGTTGAATGTTAGCACCTAATGACAATCATTGTCCATATATTAGATTGTCACTGTCTCTCCTTATATCTGGCTATCCCTCAGTACAGTCCAAATGCAAAGTCCCCTCATTTGCAGTCTTAGCATCCTTTTTGTCAGTATTTCAATACTGTAATTACCATTTTTAGCACTGGGAAAATTTTCCTCCCACCTCTGAAATGCATGCCTCTCAAATTTGCTAACATTCTTTTTTTTTTAAAGATTTATTTTTATTATTTTTTTATTGGAAAGGTGGATATACAGAGAGGAGAGACAGAGGTCTGATGATTCACTCCCCCCAAGTGAGCGCAACGGGCTGATACTATGCCGATCCAAAGCCAGGAGCCTCTTCTGGGTCTCCCACGCGGGTGCAGGTTCCCAAAGCTTTGGGCCATCCTCAACTGCTTTCCCAGGCCACGGGCAGGGAGCTGGAAGGGAAGTGGGGCTGCCGGGATTAGAACCGGCGCCCATATGGGATGCCGGGTGTGCAAGGCGAGGACCTTTAACCACTTGCACCACCGCGCCGGGCCCATTTGCTAACATTCTTAAATTTTGCTCTTGCTATCAGTTGTAGTAAGACGCACCAGCTAAAGTTTAAGTGTGGTTTTTGAACATTTATTATTTGAACTTTATTTGAAAGGCAGACCACTCTGTGAATACCTACCTTGCACAAATCTCCATCTGGGTCTCCAAAAGCTAGGAATAGGATGCAGGTGTTCCTGTTTATTAACCACTACTAAGGGTTCACCCCACCCGTTTGTATTAGTTTAATACCATTGCCCACATCAATAGATACATTCATCACATAAATTTTATTCATTGTATGGCAATAAAAGTAACCCAAATAAGCTTAATCAGACGTTATACTTCTGGAATTTGCTGCCAGCAGTTAATCAACGTAAGGAAATCATTGAAGACACAGGCATGAAACGCTAATCTACAGTAATGCAGAACAGTCCATTTTAGAGTATTTAAATCAGAACATCAACACTGACCATCATCCTTCAGTAGTTCACAGCTCTTACTTGACCCTAATTTCATTTTCCATTAGCAATACTTAAGATTTATTTTTATTGAAAAGGAATACAGACAGGAAAACTTTGTATGTGATGGTTCAATCCCCAAGTGAGTGCAATGGCCAGAGGTGAGCCAGTCCAAAGTCAGGAGCCTCTTCCAGGTCTCCCACCTGGGTGCAGGGTCTTCCCAAAGCTTTGGGCCATCCTGGACTGCTTTTCCAGGCCATAGGCAGGGAGCTGGATGGAAAGTGAGGCTGCCGGGATTAGAACTGCTATCCACATGGGATCCTAGCGCATTGAAGGCGAGTTAAACTACTACACTTCGATATTGTGCCAAGCCCCATAAACAATCCAGTTGCCTGCTGATGCGCCTGGGAAAGCAGGGCAAGTTGGTCCCAGCTCTTTGGCCCTGGTACCAACATGATGGGCTTCATACCTGCCCATCTCTGGGGTGGCACTTTGGGAAGCAAACCAGTGGAAGGAAAACCCATCTCTATATCCAAAAGTGTAGGACCAGAGTGGAGGTGACCTCAGAGGCAACTCAACCAGTATAAGCAGAAGGAATGAGATGTATTGATCTGCTCAAACAACACTTGGGTGGCAAAACATGGGGCATATTATATTTTGGTAAAATAAATGTTAGTGCTAAATGCTCAGGGTTACAGGCGCAATTCCTATTGCTTTGAGCCTTTTAAGACAGATGTGCAAACTTTCAGCTTTCAATTTCTAAAGCCAACCTGAACTGAATATATTGTGCTCTATTAGTCAATTCCTGATGTTCTTATCTTTTCAGGTTGTCCTTGGCAACACAGTAAAATATTCTTCCCTTAAGGAAAAGGTAAGTTTGGACTATCAAGAAAGTAAATGACACATTAATATATTTAAGAAGGCATGGGGATCTACACATGGATGATGGCTAGAGGATTCAAAGCAAACCTCATCTCCCAAGTCTTTCCAAGTGCCTGCCAGGTGTGGCAAAAGGTAATAATGGCCCTTTCTCTCAATCAGAACTGAAGCCAATACTATAGAAAATTGACAGAACAGGCCTTGTTCCTGAACTCATAATTGACATGGACAGATTCCCAAAATTCAGGGCTCAACTTCTAGTAACAACGCATCACCTCATTTAAAAGGAAATGTTTGAGAATTGGCAGAACACAATATAGACAAAAGGTAAGTTTTTTAGTCACACTTTAATTGCACTGCAAATCTGACAGTTAACACTGATAACTCATTAGGGATTATGACTCATAACTCTGGTTCATCAGATGTTCCTATCTGAGCATCTTCAAAACACTTTAAAATCCCACCTTGTTTACTTGCTAAAGAAAAGTCCATAAGAAGCATAACTGAATTTTAAACTTTTCACGTTCACCTTCTCTTGGAATATTGATCCTTTAATCAACTTTCATACAGACAAGCTTCCTGGTATTAGACCTAAAATGAAAAGAACAGATTTACTAAACTCTGTATCAAAACAATTCAAAAGCGTCTAAATATGTTATTTTTAAAAAACAGTGGTCTATCTCAGAAGCCAGATCCGTAAGTTAATTTTTTTCAACAGGAATTCAGGTTCGGGATAGGATCATCATAGATAAGACCAGTGCAAACTTCCATTAACTGCTAAGCGAAATGCAGAGTTACTTACAGAAAGGCTGCACTCTCCACCAAGCTGTCCTTTTTTCAATGGGTAAACAGCGACTCTCACTGCTGACAGAAAAAAAGCCCACAGGACTGTGCGTTAGAGAACTTACAAAATCCTTTAAGCAAAAAAAATCTACTTTTCCACTGGTCTTTCCTCAGAAGCCGAATCCGTAAGGCTTTTCTTCAGATAATCAGCTTCGGGATAGATTCATCACTGGGTAGACCAACCATGCCTTCTGCAATTACTTCATAAATTATGTTCGTGGCTCAGTTTTAGTTCCCACAGGTACACACGATTTTCAGGTATAATTCACAGCAGCCACGAAGCCAGGTCAAAAGGCATACTAGAAACCCCACTGCCCTGGGAAGTCACATACTTACTCCCATGTGAAGTGTCTGCTGTGTTATCCTTGCTGGCATTCAGCAACGCCCTGGCCTCTGTTTAGACAAAAGTGTCTTTCAGTGTACACAGATTAAAAGCAGGCTCAATCCTTAAGCACCACCCCAACACATACCTGATCCGTGTCAGGCTTCGTCTAAGTCCTTCTCCATCAAGTATCTTCCAGACGTTTTACAATTTTCCTCTGCAACAAAAGCAGCAAATTTGATATGAAACACCACTCTTGTTCTGTTAAATCAACAGGTATACTGTCAGTTTGCAAACTAAGCTCAACAGCGCTTACCTCAGCATCTTCACAGAACTGCTCAGACACAGCAGCGCGAACCGGCGCCATTGTTCCTGCGGGGGAAGGGGGGATGTGAGCATTCCCGGAGAACGTGCAACATTTCAATCTGTTCTGCGCACTAAGCCTCTCCCTTCCGTTAGCCCAACCATACACAACATTGCCTTGAGAACAAACGGCTCGGGGTCTCACACAAGTCGGAGTGCCCGTTTTGAAATCCTCTGGCACAGAGGCACAGATATTCGCCATCTTATGAAAGGTCCCTGGCGTTCAAGCGGTTTCCCTCCCACGCGCTGGCAGTGCGGGCAGCTCAGATTCCCGCGGCTCAAGCCCGGGGCCTCGGGTACCAGCGGCGATCTGCGCGCTCCTCCCGCCCGAGCTCCCAGCCCGCCATCTCCCCACGCTCAGGACACGTGGCGGTCCGGCTCCCCACGCTCAAACACTCCACGCCCCGCACTAAAGTTCTAATCCTTAAGATCGTTTCCCAGCTCCGAAGCCCCGATTCTTTGCCAGAACCATTCTTTTCGGCTTAGTTCTGCGCCAACGAGGGGAAACTTACCGAAGCCACAACAAGCAACTCCGACGTCCCGAAGTGAAAGAACGAACTGCGCCCCCAGCAGCTCCCTATATACCCTCGCCTTCGTCAGCAAACGGCCGCTCCTCCCCGTCGCTCCTATTGGACACGAGCGAAAGCGAGGCGTGGTCTTTTCTTGGGGCGACCCCGCGGGAGCGCGCGCGGCGGCTCTTTTCTTTGGGGCCCGTTCCGGGGCGTGGCGCGCGCCTCCCTCCCGCCTCCCGCCGCCGCGCCCCCGTGCGCTCCGCGGCGCGCGCCCGTCTGCTCCCGAGTCGGGCGGGATGCCGGCCCTACGTGGCGTGGGAGTGGCGCCAGAATTCAAACAGCCACATTTGGAGGCGAGGCCGCCGTGTGCCCGGAGCCAAGTCCGCCCGGAACACATTGGGACTGGGAGCGCCGGCGGCCCCTCAGTTTAGGAGCGATTCGAGAACTGGAGTTTGCTGGCGCTGGGTGACGGCTGGCGGGCGTTGGCTGAAGCACTCACGGAAAGGTCAACTGGCGGGCAGAAATACTAGGGTGAAAAGGTTGCTAGTTGTGAGCCAGCCCCGTCGCGCCGCACTCAGTCCGACAGGGCCTCGGGGTGCACCCTGCTTTTTGCCTCAGTCACCACTCTGAGTCTCCCCCAGAGAGCAAACGTGAAAAGCTGACAAGTCCGTTTGGCAGAGGAAGGAAGCCGAGGTCCGAGGCAGCGAAGCAGCTCCCCCGGGGTCACACACCTGAAATGCGTGGCTATTTTATGTCTCTGTACCGAATTAGTTAATAATGAACGCAAGAGAAAGATGAATTTGGTGAGTGTCTTGAATATCCAAACGACATACTAAAAAAATGTCAGAAGCAGTGTTTTCAGAAAAGAGCACGAGCTGACTCTATGTGAATGTGTGCCCATAGCACTGGAACATACCAGCTTCAGAACCCAGGGCTCTCCCGCGGTCTTCCTTCCATGTTCCTGGCTTGTCTCCCTTGGTAGCTGAGCCCACGCCCACTACAGGAGCTTCTCTGATTCTCGGGTGGCTGTTTTTTTTTTCCTCTGGCTCAGGACAATGACCCATAGAAAGTACATAGTTGGTGTTTATTGCCTAAATGACATTTATTAATATATTTGGCAGTCTTTTTAGAAAATTAGAATGAAGATCAAACTCCAAATGAAACGTTACTGGGGAAAAATAGTTTTCTCTAACAAGAACCTAAATTATTAAGTATTGTTCTTGACTGGGCATTATGTCTTTTGTTTTTTAAAATATTGCTCTGTACTGTGCAGTGTACATATTCATGTTCTCCTAGTTAAACAGAAAACGAACAGAGCAAAAGAACACAAAAAGAAAAGTAAAAATTCCTTGCCACGTCTTTTGAGAGTCCTCTCCCCAGCTCTACTTTGCAGCATTGAAGACTGCTAACAGTTTTAAAAAGTTTCTTGGTATACATCCGTCTCTTGGTATCTTTTTTTCCCCATGCACAGATGCGTATACTTTTGTACAATTAGATTTTCCTTCTTAAAAATACTAGACATCTTTCCGTATCACTTCAGGGAGATTCTCCTTTACAGTCTGCGTAGTACTCAGCTGCATGTTTCATGCTGCGTTATCAATTTCCAGTTTTTATTCTTTCAAATATTGCTAAAATGAACTATAAGTATAGTGGGATTACGAGAACATATCTGCATTATGAGTTCTAGAAGGGAACCGGAGGTAATCTGCACTTAAATTTGTGCTGGATAGTGCTTAGCCTCCCCTCCAGCCCCACGAAAAGGTTGTGTTATGGTTTTACTTTGAAATATGTTTTTCTAATTGAAAAACATAAGTGTGGAGTGGCAATCATTGGCAGCGGAGAACTTGAGTCAGCTTAAACGTCTGGAGGAAAAAAGCTTATTGTTTTTAAGATTTATTTATTTTTATTGGAAAGTTAGATATACAGAGGAAGGAGACAGAGAGGAAGAACTTCCGTCTGATGATTCACTCCCCAAGCAGCCACAACAGCTGGAGCTGAGCCGATCCGAAGCCAGGAGCTAGGAGTTCTTCTGAGTCTCCCATGCGGGTGCAGGGTCCCAAGGCTTTTGGCCATCCCCGTCTGCTTTCCCAGGCCACAAGCAGGGAGCTGGATGGGAAGCAGGGCCACCAGGATTAGAACCGGTGCCCATATGGGATCCTGGCATGTTCAAGGCGAGGACTTTAACCACTAGGCTATCGTGCTGTGCCCAGGACTGTCTGTATTTTGAGTGCTCACTTGCCCATGTGGATTAAATTTTTCCCATATTACTTTTGATTCACTAATAACCAACTAATAATAATAACTAACAAAAGCAATGCAAAAAAATTTAGAGCATACCTGATTATTGAGAGCACTACCAGCCAGTGAACACAGACAATGATGATGAAACCAGTACACATCTCTCAAAATGTGTTTCTTGGCAAGAAGCAAAGTTGAAGTGAGGGATGAAGCCATCAGCCATTACTCTCACATTTAAAACATTCAAGCAAATATTAGAAATGGTTAGTAATAACCGTGCAAATTCACTGCTACAATTACAAGTGTCCTTAAAGAATTTTGTTGTGTGTCTGCCGTGTGTTTTAAAGAAAGATAATATAAATATACAACATTCTTTGACCTTCTGAAAGAAGATAGTTTAATAAGAAATGTATACTCACCTTTTGACAGGATTTGAAATTAGTTCAGTCATTGAGATGAGATCTTCTGAGGGATGTCACTGTATTTTTGTTCATGGAAATGGAAGGCTGGGAAGAGAACAACAGGTTGTATGTAGCTAGGGTCTTTTTAAAGATTAGTTTGTTTTTATTTGAAAGGCTTAGTTACACAGAAGGAGAGAGAGAGAGATCGTTGATCCGCTGATTCACTCCCCAAATGGCCACAATGGCCAAAGTCGAGCCAATCTAAATGCTGGAGCCAGGAGCTTCTTCCAAGACTCCCATGTGGGTGCAGGGACCCAAGGGCTTGAGGTATCCTCTAACACTTTTCCAGGCCATAAGCAAGGAGCTGGATTGGAAGTTGAGCAACCAGGACTCAAACTGGTGTCCTAATGGGATGCCTATGTCATGCCTATCCCTATTGAGCCACAGCACTGGCCCTGGTTAGGATATTGTATTCATTCGATTATGTAATGTTTAAAACAATTCTGATATGTATTTTATTTTAAAAGTTAACTTATGTATCTATTTTAAGATTTATTATTTGGGAACAGTGTGGCAACTCAACTGGCCAATCTTTCACCTGCAAGTTCCAGCATTACATATGGGTGATGGTTTGTGTCCCAGATGCTCCATTTCTTATCCGGCTCCCTGCCTGTTGCCTGGGAAGGCAGTAGAGGATGATCCAAAGCCTTTTGACTCTGTACCCACGTGTGAGACCTGGAAGAGGCTTTTAGCTCCTGGCTTCAGATCAGCTGAACTCCTACTGTTGTGGCCATCTGGGGAATGAACTAGTGGATGGAAGATCTTTCTCTGTGTGTCTGTCCTTTTCTCTGTAAATCTGCCTTTCCAATAAAAAATCTTTTAAGCAAACACATTTATTTATTTTTGCTTGAAAAGCAAAATTATATATAGAGAGAGCGGGAAACAGAGAGATCTTCCTGTCTGTTGGTATACTTTCCAAATGGCCACAACAGCCACAGCTGGGCCGTTGGGAAGCCAAAAACCAGGAGCTTCTTCGAAGTCTCACACTTAGTTCTAGGGGCCCAAGGACTTGGGCCATCTTCTGCTGTTTTCCCAGGTGCATTAACAGGAGCTTGATTGGAAATGGAATGGCTGGAACATGAACAAGCACCCAAATGAGATGTCAGTGCCCCAAGTGGAGGCTTAGTCTACAGTCCTATGATGGTTCCTTATATGTAATTTTTTCCTGATATGCATTTAAAAAATATTTATTTTTATTGCAAAGTCAGATATAAAGAGAGGAGGAAAGACAGAGAGAAAGATCTTCTACCTGATGGTTCACTTCCCAAGTGAGCACAGCGGCTGGAGCTGTGCTGATCTGAAGCCAGGAGCCAGGAACTTCCTTCAGGTCTCCCATGTCTGTGCAGAGTCCTAAGGCTTTGGGCCGACCTCAACTGTTTTCCCAGGCCACAGGCAAGGAGCTAGAGCTGCCAGGATTAGAACCGGCGCTCATGGGATCCTGGCACGTTCCAGGTGAGGACTTTAGCCGCTAGGCCACAGTGCTGGGCCCCTGATACATATTTTTAACACATGTATTTAGAAATGAGAACAATGAGGCATGGTGGTTTCAGCTAACTAATAATATTCCTAAGTGTTTCTGACCCCAAACTTGATCATGTCACCAGGGCATGAGATTGGTGTACCAAAGGAAATGATAGGATGTGATGATGAATTGTGATCAGAGACACAGTGGGCGGCCAAGAGAATGGCAGCTCCTTTGACTGGAAGGTGACATCAGGAGTTACTGCTTTGGGGGCAGGAAAAAAATGATTCAGGTGTGTTTGTGTTAGATTTTGGGTTGGAACATTTATTGTGGGTCATCAGGAATGTGGATGTGAAGCTCAAGAACAAAGTTATGGTTAAAGAAGAACCTTTCAATAATCACTAATGCAGAGTGGATGAGCAGATGGTTATGGAGAGAAAAGGAAAAAAGGGCCAAGAGTCGTGTCCTAGAGTTGGTAGCACTGTGTGTGCAGGTGGCCTGCAACAGACTAGCTTGGAAAGCACAATGTGCCTAATGTAAGAATCTGAATGTATAAACAATGCAGAAGAAAGAAGTGCACTGCAACAGTGTTTGATTAAATCACAGGGATAACATATATTAAATTAAGCATTGTAAGTATAGTTAATTTATTCCAAAACACAAAAATTTATTTTAGGAAAGAATGCTATCTTTTGTTATGTAAAGGTTTTCTTCTTCTTCTTTTTCTGAGTGTTTCAACTAGATAGTAAATTGTCAATTTGATGGTAGGACAAACAACTGATCATCTTACCATTATTCTAGAAAGTAGTAAAGTTAAAGAACTGATGGGGCAGACAATATGGCACAGTAGATTAAACTGTTGCATAGGATACATATATCCCTTTACAGAGTTTAGGTAAGAGTCTGGCTATTCTGCTTCTGCAGCTTCCTGAAATACATCCTGGGAGGTAACAGGTGGTGGCTCAAGTGCTTGCGCCCCTGGCAGCCAAGGTGAAGACCCAGA